AAATTAGTTCTCAATAAAAAATCAGATACATAGAATGTGTGCTTTTTTCTTTGAGACTATCAGGGTCCAGTTCCTTGGCTTTTCACTGCGATTTTATTTGTGCCTGTGTTCATTCATTCATTCCTCAATATTGAATGAGCACTCTTTGAGTAAGGCTGTGTGGTAGACCTGGGGGATAAAAAGGTGACCATGATACATGACCCCATCTTCGAAAATCTTGCAGTCGAGACCAGGAGCCAGCAAAATTTTTCTGTAAAGTGCCAGATTGTAAATATTTTATGCTTTGTGGGCTCTACAATCTGTTACACAAACTACCCGGTCCTGTTGTGGTCTGGAAGCAGCCATGGATGACTCATACATGAAGGGGCGTGGCTGTGTCCCCATAAAACTTTGTTCACAATAACAGGCTGTGGACTGAATTGGCCTGCAGGCACTGGTCTTTGGAGTCCTGATCTAGTGGACAAATAAAATGGAATTCAGTGTGATACGAGATTCTGCAAAGCACAAGGCAGGGGATCGGACCCTGATGGGTAACGGTCTGTGAAGCCTTCTTGCCCTTGTGCCATGTACCCTGCGACCTGGAAGAGGAATAGCCAGATGAGGGGGGGGTATGTGTTCTGCGGAGGTGAGAAAAGGGGCGGATGTGTGTGGAGAAAGAGGCGTTCTGGAGGGAGGAAGCACTGGAAGATGGCCTGGCTGGAAAGCAGAGAATCAAATGAGGAGTGACGAGACGCCCTCTCAGTCTGTAAGGGTTTAACGTGGTCTCCCTCTTAGTTGGACGACACTGACCCTCCTGAGCAGGAACTGGAAACTCTCTCAGTGTGAAAATAATGCAGTCTTGTTGTAGGTTCACTCACTTCAGTGCCAGGAACCTGCATGTGAGCAACAGACTGAACTATATGGAATCTACTGATGTAAATGACTTTGGTTTAGTCAAGTGGCTGGCCTGGAAGGAGGCATGCGGCCGTTTGGGAGCACGAGGGGCTAGAGAAAGAGGACAGCCAGGCAGGGCTGCTCCCATGAGGCGTTTTCGGCCAGGGCACGATCGATGTCTGTTTCTGTCTTTGAAGAGGAGCCGAACGAGGATCCCCACGTGATGTTGAATTTGTTGGGGGTTACCGGGATAGGACTCCGAGGGTCTAGAGGCCTCTTCCTGTCCCAGGGGCCGCAGATGCAACATACTCCCCCGTTGAAGGAATTTCTGGGAAGGAGCTTGGTGTTGTAGAAGGAGCCCCAGCTTTGAGATGAGACTCATCTTCAGATCCTGGTTCTGGTACTTAAGAGTTGTATGACTTTACCAGAGTTACTTAAACTCTACGTCCCCATTTTCCCATCTGTAAAGTAGAGGGATTATACCCACCTTGCACAGTTGTCATAAAGAATTAAGCGATGTAAATCTGTAGCATTGGCACCAAGCCTGTAGGAAGGGGCGCGGGAAGCCTTCCTAAGGTAACATTTAGTCTTTCTGGCTTGCCTGCCTTTTCTAGCCCTATTTGCTGTGGCTCCAAAAAGAGCTGGATGAGGCGATGTGAGGGAAACTTACCGATTCCACCATGGGAGAAGCAGCAGCAAGCACTCCTTGGAGGGGATCAGAAGCACTGTATTTCTGTAAGATACTACTTCATGACTCTGCTCTGTGCTTTGAAAGGAAACACAGCAATGGTGCCACATTCTCAAGAAGAGCCACTAGGCTTCTCTAACAGTGAAATTGAAATGCACTTAAAGTTCGTGTAAATGTACAGTGATCCCCGCTTTAAATCCATTTTAGACCGGTTTTGGTGGCCGTTCTCTGTCCCTTCTGACCCAGCCATAACTCTACGGCAGTTCCTTCCCCATCTCAACTTCTAGGTCACTTCAGGGACCCTCTCCCCATTCCCCCATGGACATGCAGTGGCAGGTCCAAGTGTGTGGAAGATGGCCTTCTGACCTTCCTTACTGTCCTTGCTCAGCCTGTCAAGCAGTGCCTCAGCTCATAATTCCATCAGTCTTCACCCCAGTCCTGTGATGATACAGCCTGAACTGCCATGTTTTTGTTTCTACTAGCTCATGCCAGTCTTCCTAGGTTACCAGCAACTCCATCCAAGTAATCTGAGGGCACTTCCGGGTTTCTTCAGGGCATGTGAATGAAAGGAGAAGAGGCAGGAAGGATGTGAAAAAGTACCTTTTTCTGTCTCCTGTTTACTTCTCATTGCCAACTGTAAGGGTGGAAGGGAGAGCCTTGGACTCTGCACCAGGTTTAGGAGTGAGGAGACCAGGAAGTGAGAAAAGACCAGGGAGAGAAAAGACCAGGAAGCGAGACCAGGAAGTGAAAAAAAGACCTGGGAGAGAGGGTGAAGCGAACTCAGCCTGTGATGTCTGCAGAAGTCCTGTCAGCAGGAGGCTGAGACCTCGATACTTTCCCATCCCTGTGTCTCTGGAGCCCCCAGCCTTTCCCAACCATGACCTCTAGCTTGGAACCACTCTTTAATGGGACCAGGGCAGTCATGAATGGAGACATGTTGAATCTTAAGCAGGACTTAGGATAAGGCACGTAGCCCCAGAAAAGCCATGTTGTACACAGTTTAGACCCTGTGGAAATATTAGTACTTAAATTCAGGAACATTTAGGACTAAACATAAATAAACACTGTGGTCAAGAAGCAAAGTGTCTTTCAAGATGGCCTCGGTCATATACTTCCTTCTAAGATTTCTATTTGTGTTCCTCACCTAATATTCAGTTGATCTCTTACTGTTTTTCTCAGTGATTTATTGAGCTTATGTGTCATATAAAACTCTTTGTGATTTGATGCAAATACTTTTTTTAGAGTTGTTTATCTTTTAATTAGCTTGTTTTTTTTTTTTTTTTGACACATAGAGGCTTTAAACTTTAAGGCATAATCAGTTGTTTCTATCTTTTGTGATTTTTATACCATTTTTTAGCTTAGATAATTTTCCGTTTATTTACAAGAGAAAATGCTAAATATTCATGTCTGTTTTATTAGAGGTGTTTGATTTAAAAAAAAAAAAAAAGTTAACACTTTAGGGGCACCTGGGTGGCTCAGTCGGTTAAGCATCCGACTTCAACTTAGGTCATGATCTCATGGTTGGTGAGTTCAAGCCCCGCATTGGGCTCTGTGCTGACAGCTCAGAGCCTGGAGCCTGCTTCGGATTCTGTGTCTCCCTCTCTGTCTGCTCCTCCTCCATTCATGCTCTGTCTCTCTCTCTCTCTCTCAAAAATAAACATTAAAAAAAATTTAATGATTTAAAAAAAAACAGTTCTTTAATTCATTTCAAATTGATTTTAGCATATGGTGTAAATAGAAGACTTTATTTTTTCCCCAAGTAATACCTTGTATCAGGTGCTTAACCATAATAGTGGCCATTTGTGATTTCCTACAAAGGCAGATGTCAACTTATATGCTGTGGGGATCATAAGAATGAAGTAAATACACCCCTGCCCTTGTGGAACCAATCTTAGCAATGAAATGCCAGATTGGGGTGATTTCACAAGCCATGGCAAATGGTGTCAGGGAAGGATATACACTGATGTCCGGCTGTGGCATGCCCATCCTGTCCTAGTGACCGCTCCTGACTCCCAGACAGAACCTCCCATCCTTTCTCAGATTGGCATGTGGCTACTAAGTTGGCCAGCAGCATAAACCTGCACACCCACCTAATATGCCATTGACAAGATAATCGTATTATGATACAGATCAGACACATGAAATAATGGTTGAAATTGTGCTGTAAAGAATCAGTTGTCCTGTGTTGACATGTGGTCATTTCTTAAGACCTGGTGCCAGAGAGAGTCGGAGATACTCTTAATTTACCACAAGTTAGAGAAGGAGATGGGGATAGGGGCAAAAAGGTGGTTGAGAGAGTGTAGGAAGATGACATTTGCAGACAGTGGAACAAATTACTTGAGATGTCATGACATGTCCTTTAAAGACCTTTCTGAGGACAGAATGTCTGTATCTGTGGTAATTTATGGGGAATCCTGCACCGAGGAAGTAGGAGGATCTGGTTCCTCAAGCACAAATCTCATGAGACGCAGCAGAATTGTCCAAGATCCTGATTGGCTTCATGTTAAACACTGTGTCCATTGCCTGGGGTGTGACGCACGTGCCATTTAAACTGCCCTTAAAAACAGTGGCCATTGGGCTGTGGAGAACATACCATGATCTGGTAGACAAGAGGGAGTGTTTGCTGTGGATTCTTTTCCTAGCCAAGGAGACATACTCAGCAAGGAGATTCCCCTCATTCCCCGAGCCAAATGACAAAGGTTTGAAATTATCTTGTGTTCTTTTGTAAACTGTTTGGTTGAGCATGCAAGGTTCTCCCCATAAGGAGTGATTTGTGTCGATTATTTTCCTTGACTCACACATACCGGCCATTTCCCAAGAGCAAAAATGAGGAAGTAACAGGACATTTGTGTCTTTGACAGTTTTACGAAAGAGTCTTAAAAGAGACACTAATGAAGGCTGTGGTTAAAATTACTTATTTACAAGGCTCTTGATAAACCATGAAGAAAGGATACCAGTCCACCAGCATGCCTCCATTTCAGAGATCACAGCAAATAAAATCAAGGTTTATGGTCATTATAACGGTGCATGGTCAGTGTATAAATGAGTATATTAGTTCCCTTAAAATGTGTGAGAAGCTACTGGCAATTTGGCTTTATAAGAATGTAAGCTAATATATTCTCGGTGTTTGGTTTCCCCCTGACTCTATGTAGCTCAGTTATTTAGCATAACGTTTTTTAAAATGTTTGGATCTATTGCATATTTCAGGATGATTGGGAGACTTTCTGGAACGACCTCCACTTGTGAAAAATCAGTATTTTCTCTGCAAATACAGAAAAGATCTTTGCCAGTGGGTTGAAAGCAAGGGAGAGAGCACAGTCTGAGACGATCAGACAGGCATATGTCAGAGCTCAACTCAGCTCCTGTCAGTGGTGTCCTAAGATTTTATGATTATGTTGCGGTCATCTAAAAATTGATGTTTTGTTCTTCTCCCTTTTAGGAAAAACTGTGTCTACCCCATCACATCCTTGAAGAGAAAGGCCTGGTCAAAGTGGGCATTACTGTTCAAGCATTACTAGATGTAACGGTAACGAAGTCTCTGTTCACATGAAACCAGCTCCTCTCCTTTGGGTCGGTTCAGACTCATCTCTCGTCAGAGATCCTGAACTCTGCTCTCAGCACCTGTTCCTCCTACCCTCCCGCTCACTACCTGTCAGTTCCCTGGCTCTGGTTGCATTGAAGGGAGGACATAAGGGAAGATGTTTCTGCCTTTCAGAACTGACCTCCACTGTTAAGATATGAGAGAGATTTACCTTAAAGCCAGTGAGGGAGCTGTCTGTGAAGAACTGAGCAGCACATCGATGCCTTTTACAACCTCCTTCCATCCCTACGCTCACCTACTGCCATTACCGAAACACCAAGCACAACCGTTTTTGCAACAAGACGCATTTGTTTTATTCAAACCAAACTTCTTGTGTATTTGGTGGGGGGAGGGGGGGGGAACTCAATCAGGTTTTTCACCACCAAATTTTTCAAGACGTTTCTTGAGACCATTGCCTTTTAAAAAACTATTTTCGACATACAAAATATTTATATAAATATTATTTATTAGTGAGTTGTTATTTCATCCTTTGGATGCAAATTGTAAATTAGGAAACTATTTTATTACTGCTTTTTTGTGGTTAAACACTTTATTTTAATATTATAAATATTGAATTATTTTCTATGCTCTTTGGTGTGCAGTAGTTGTAGGTCTCAGTAATCACGTTTTCTGGTGTTTGTGACTCAGAAACAAACAAACAAAAAAATGAAGCCAAAAAACAGGTGCTTCTGTGACAAGAACTGTTTTCTGGGGAGGCATTATTTCCACTTCGGTTCATCGAACATTGGTTTTATTTATATTTCTGCATTCCATCCAGTTTCCTACATTCCACCAGCCCTGTTGTCCTCTCATGTAATGAACTGACTGAAATCGAGAGAGCACCCCAAAGTTATCTGTAAATAGCTGTGATGGAAAAAAAAAAAGCACATTAAACTTGAAGATGAAATGTGAACAGTTATTTTTTTGGATTCAGACTTATTTTGCTATGCACAAAACATTCACGTTTTTAACACAGAGAAGTAGTAAGTGTTAGCATAGTGCGTCTTGAAGTATAATTTTGCACTGTAACTTGGGTAATGAAAGAAAGTCTAACGCCAAAGGTAAATAATCAGGAAATGGCATCGGAAAGTGGAGGTAATAAAAAGATGTATTGTTTAACCAAAAAGCTTCTTGAAGGACGGCTCTGACGAGTGTGCCAGAATTACGCACAGCACGTAGGGCCCGGATCAGGAAACCAGCACTTCTTACCACTGCCAGTCTTAAGGGAGGAAACGATTGTGAGAAAAGCAGACGTGCTCATTTTATTGCAATTTAGTTGGTGGCTTCCAGAAAACGCTGCAGGATTCACGGTCTCTGGTGTGAAACCGTGGAAGTGAGTTAGCGAGTTGGTGTGGCAGCCGCATGAACACCCAGGCAGGCTCCGGAGAAAGTTAGGTAAGTGGCGTTTGGAGACGGAGTGGCTTAGGAAGGAGTGAAAAGTAAGTTCGATCAAAGCACGACTAGAGAAGAGCCAGCAAAGGCAAGGGAGCTGTGTTGGTTGGAGAGATTCACATAAGGCTTAACAGACACAACCACCTATTTGAGGCCGTTACGTGCACGTGCACTCGCCCATCCCAGCCCTTCATCTTCCGAAGTCTCGTGGAGGCTGACTGCAGCTTCGCCTCCGTGAAAAGCCATTGTAAGTTTTTAGAGCGGCGGCAGCCACAATTCACAAGACAAATACGAAGGTGAACACAGAGCAGAGGATACCGGGACGATGGTGTGCATTGAACCGCGGACTGACTGCCGTCGGTCAATGCCAGCATCTGCCGTGGGCAGGATGGAGGGGTTACTGAAAATGGTCGTTTGCATTGGCAGCTAGCGGTTATTTCCTGTCAAATAAATGTACTGTGCACTTTAAGCTAACTTAAAAGATGTTTTAATATTTTCCTGTACTGCACAAATACCTGTTTTATCGAATAGCATAATGATGTAAAAGAGACGTTTTGGACAAAGAGCGTATTCAATGTAAACAACAGGCCAAGGTTGATACAGAAATAGGAACTTAGTTTGCTGCACCTTGACGGGCATTCAGAATGCAGGGTCCTGAGATATTTTTTTACGTGTATATATTGGCAACATGAAGCTCTGTAATCCTTGTTCTGAGAGGGGTTTTTTTTTTTCCCAAAATTAAAATATTTCTTTGGATATTCATCTTCAGTATTTTTCTTAAAGTTGGCTGTATAATACAAATGGCTTCAATACTTTGTGCAATGGCTTTTTTTCTTTTACGTGCAGTCCTTGTATGGCTAAGACGTCTTCAAGTTCCTTGTACACTGTTTATATGTGCAATAAAATGTGCGTGGCCAGCTGAGAGTCCCTAAGTGGACAGAATGTACATAGTGCGAATATCCTCTCTTTTATTATTTAACAGTCATTAAAACTTTGAATTTGTACAAACCATCTTCTGACTGACTGACCCATCTGATGCAAAGGTTGATTGTAGTCACAAAAGCAATCCTAGCGTGTCATTGCTGAAATAGATTGTAGCAATTATGTAGTGTATATGTATGAGTGTGTGGATGTAATATATATATTTTGTTTTTGACAAGTTTTTTCTAAAAAAAAAATTTTTTTTTAATGTTTAGTTTTGAGAGAGAGAGAAACAGCATGGGCAGGGGAGGGGCAGAGAGGGAGGAAGACACAGAATCCGAAGCAGGCTCCAGGCTCTGAGCTGTCAGCACAGAGACCAAGGGCCCAACTCAAGAACCGGGTGAGACTGCGATCGGAGCCTCATCGCCGCCACTTTAACGCTGCTTACCCAGGCGCCCCTGACAAATTTTCTTTCAAACTAAAATCTTCCTGGATGCAGAGCACTTTTCAAAGCAGAAAAGCTGCTATGAGTGGGAGCGGGAGTGGCATTCCTGTGACTTCCACCTGTCTCTTCAAGTAAGCCCAGAAGGTGTCATCAGAGGAAGCCTTGATAGGACACTGACTAGACCACTGAGGAATATCACCATAAAATTCAGATATTTCTTCGATATATCAGGAGGACACTTAGAAGATTAAGGAACAGGATACCGACTGGCCGCCCCAACCACAATAATGTAAACATGGTTTACAGCTCAAGCAGGAATCGTGTCAGGTCTCCACGCTTAAGATCTGCTCTGCCCAGCCTAGAAAACTGCACGATGGCCCCTCGCTGCGTCGACATTGGGATGTGCCCTGTGCCGACCTCCTCCTAAATCATAGCTCTCTTAGGCTTCTGCACGTGATGGTGACCAGCACTCACGACTCTGTGCACAAGTCAAGTTGAACAACCGAGAGGCAAACGGCGGCGAGGCCACGGAGCGGAGCACCGGGGTTTGGCAGGGGCATCTCAAGCAGGCCATGTGGCGCTACACAACTGGGGACGGTCCCAGAGACCGAGTCCTGGCCAATGGCCACCTCAGGGGCGTCCCAGTGCTTTCTGGGTGCATCTGAGAGATCCAGGCAGCACGACTGGCTGGTTAACTAACCTCCCAGCTTTCCCAGGAGGGCAGCTAGCAGAGCCCAGATCCAGATGAGTCTGGTCTCTGGGGAGGCGACGGGCGCTCTAGGACTTGGTAGTCCTTGAGTGTCGGGCGTGTGTGGGAAGCAAGGCCCACTCTCAGCCGCTACCTTTACTCCTCACGCTCACACGCTTGTGGGCCACCTTAATGGTTACTATTTATTGAGTGGCTACTGTTTGGGGCGAGCGTTTTTTCCTGAACTGTAAGCTGCCTTAAAACAAGGCCGCTTGTTGTCTGTTTTGTTCTCTGCTGATCCCCCCATTGCCTGGAACAGTGCTTGTCCTGTAGGAGGCCCAAAAAGATGCCAGTGAGGAGAATTAATGAACCCTGCATACATTATTTCAAAAACTCTTGCCAAAACGCTACCAGGAAAGAACTTGTGGACTCCTATACTCCCGTACTACACGCATCCAGTAACTAACCCTGCCTCCTATGCTGTGAGGTTTTGTGGTTCTTACCTGACATTGCCCACGTGGCTGTTGGTTCAAGAGCAGCCACCTTACTCAAAATTGAGCACTAAATCTCTTCCCCAAGATTTTAATTCTTTTCCTGACGACAGGAGACAAAAGACATAAAACCTGGAACAGACCCTGAGGTTAACACTGGCATTCAGAGAGATGTAGGGACAAGAAACAGGGAAGAAATCCCTGATGTTTGCACTCCTGGCTCCAGTAGGAAGAGCCCGGAATTTCTAGAGCTTGGGTAGTCAACCCCTCCCTGAGTCCTTTCAAGAGGCTAAGACTGTATAAAATCCATTTAAGTTGGACTTCCCTGTTCACTGTACAGGAGGCATCCTGGCAGAGCTGACCAACTAGAGTTTCTAGAGTTAAAAAAAAAATGACTATGATGCTTTCAATGTTGCCAACAAAATTGGGATCATCTAAATAAGAGTCCAACTGGCTAAATCTAAATACAATTTTTTTTTGCCATAAAAACAAGAACAAAAGAAACACCTGTGGCTGTGCTGGCAGCACGTATTTTGGCTATGCTTAGGATTTTGGAGATACAAAAGAAAGTATATATTCATGGGATAAAACTTGATAAACTGAGCCTCTTGGGACCAGTTTTAATGCCAGTAGCTAAGACAGATCAAGGTCAGGAAAAGAGGTTTACAAAACAGGTAGAGCACAGAGGAAGCATTCCTCACATTGAAATGAGGTCTAGGAAGAAGTTTCCAGTTTCCTTGCCATTTCTGTTTGTTTTTTTTTTTTTAATTTTGGAATTTTTTTCTTCTGTTTATCGAAATGATACAGGTTCATCATAGAAACTTTGGACAGTATGAAGAGATTGGGGAAGGTCACCTGCAATCCTGTCTTATAGGAAACTGTTAAACTTTTGAAATATTTCCTTTGAGACATCCCTATGTATTTTTATACAGTACAACTTTACGTACTGTCTTTTTTCCTTTGTTAGTACCAGAGGATATGCATTTTCCCCAGGATAGTATTATTTGCTGAAAGAAAAAATGGGGATTCACTGAACAGCCACCAACAAGATATTTTAGAAGCCTCCTCTGGAAAAATGTCCAGTTCCTAGAGTCATGTGGTCTTAGGTGGGCAATACCTAAAAGAACTGGACAGACCCTGAAATAGAGAGAAGGGCCCTTAGGTCTTTGATGGGCACAGGGAGCCTGCGGGGGGATTGATAACAAGGTAGGGCTAGAAAGGGAAGGTGGCCAATAGGGGGCGCATTCTCAAGCCACTCCACAGTGAAAGACTGAAGTTCAATCCTGGAGGAAGCTCTGGGAAATGGTACAGAACATCTCATAACTCAGAATTATCCTGGCCAAACTCTCAGGAGGTATTTATATCCACCCCCAAAACTCCTTCAAAAACATGCCTAGAAATGCTTAAAAAAATAAATGTATGCTCATATCAATGCTTTGGTTATATAAGAAAATAAGGAAATCCCCAGATTCTCCAGTTCCCTGTCTCTGCCTCTCCCCGGCCCTCTCTCTCAAAAATAAAAAATAAACATTAAAAAAAAAGAGGGGCACCTGGGTGGCTCAGGTGGTTGAGTGTCAGACTTCAGCTCAGGTCATGATCTCACTGCTGGTGAGTTTGAGTCCTGCATCAGGCTCTGTGCCGACAGCTCAAAGCCTAGAGCCTGCTTTGGATTCTGTGGCTTCCTCTCTCTCTGCCCCTCCGCTGCTGGTGCTCTGTCTCTCTCAAAAATAAATAAAGATTAAAAAAAATTTTAATAAATAAAAAGTTACTTTACCTGTGTTCCCCTCTTGTGGGTCTACCTGATAGAAATGACCAATAGGCTAAGTTTTTCCTAAATTTCAATATACATCAGAATCTCCTGGGAGAGGGAGCTGGTGACCAGAATATCAAAATGAAGGCGACGCCATGATGGTGCTGGGAGAACCGGTCCATCATCCCCTTGACCAAGAGATGGTTTGTTAATTAGTGGGCACCCC